AGGAAAACCCAGAGAATGTGTAGACCAAGGAAGAAACATGTTTAAGACAGAAGGCATTAAATGTATTAAAAGCTGAGTGGTCAGATAAGGTGAGACCCCAAACCAGTCCTTTAGTGATAGAAAAGTCACTGGTGACCTTGGCAAGCTTGGAGGCTGAAGCCTGTTAGGAGCAGGTGAGGAGACAGGGGAAGGTGAGAAAGCATGACAACAAAGGAGAATAGATAGCAAATGATCTCAAGATGTGCAGTCCAGGGAATTCCTTTGCTTGCTTGTTTTGGGTGAGACACCAGAGTTTGTTTGCTGCTGTGGTGAAAGGCCCAGCAGAATGAGAAGACTGAAGGGGAAGGGAGAGCCAGTGGAACACCCTGCAGGTGGTAGCAGGTGGGCCAGAGCACATGCTGCAAGATAGGGCCCGGGTAAGAGGAAGGCCACCTTCTCTAATGCTTCAGGAGGGAAGGTGCATGTGACCAGGTGCCTGTGGCAGAAGCTGAAGATGAAGATAGGAGGCAGGAGGAGGAGGGCCTTCCTGTCTGATGGATTCTCTCATCTCAGTAAGGTAGGAAGTGATGGCATCTGCTGAGACTGGAATGGAACAGCAGGACCAGATGATTGGGGAGAAGAGAAGAGAAATGAGATGGGAATTCAGGAGCATAGGAGAGCAAGTGTGGCTTCAGGAGGCCCTCCTGGAGGGGAGGGGCAGTGAGAGCAAAGCCTTTGGTCTTCCTGGCATTGAGGGAGAGCTGTCCTTTGAGTCCCCTGCGGAGCTCCACTGCCACCGTGCAAAGCTGGTGGTGGGGCTGCTCCCCTATTGTTCTGTTCGGGCCCATTCTTGTTCACACAGCCTTTCCCTGCATGTCTGTCATCCAGCTAAGACAGGTGGGAACTTAAAGGCCATACATGCCAAGCACCAAAGCTCACACATTTACAATAATTAGCCCCAAATTCAGATGCTCTGATTCTTCTCTTCAGGATCCTCCTCTCAGAAATGTTGTGGGATCCTCTAAGAATGCTTACACATGTAACCCAAGTGCCCTCTGGACACCTACTAGATTCTGAGTTCTGGATAAAGTCATTTTCTCTCTAACAGCCCCAGAGTTGGGAGGTGGGTTGATAGGCTAGAAGATAATTAATAGGACTAGTTTTGGGTCTCACCTATCTGACCACTCCCATATAATTAGAGCTGCTGCCCAGTGCTCTTGCCACCTTGTTGTGTATTCCATGCATGCACTACTGCCAATGCCACAAAGCTGTAGACCCTGGCTGCTTTTGCCCTTCCCAGCCCAACAGGGAGATGGCTTTTGCTTTGAGTGATCACCTCTTTCAGATGTGGATCCCATAGCAAAGCGGTAGGGCCCTGAGTGATCCAGCTCCTCCCTTGCACCACTGCCCCCTTCTTCCCAAAGTGCTGATCGGGAGTCGGTCAGGCGCAGCTTTGCCTTTCCAAGGCTTGTGGCTCAAGTCTAGTTCCCCCAGGAGGATCTCCTCTCAGGAACCTCACTGTATCCCCTCCAGCCTGGCCCCCGTTGGGAGCCTTAGTCCTTGTAGTAGGTCTGTCCCTCTCTGAATCTCAGCTGTGGATGGAATTCAGTGTCTTTTGCCAGGGCTTGGGGCCCCATAGAAATTCAGAGATGATGTCCTAGCTGGTTTGGCTCAGTGGATAGAGCGTTGGCCTGCAGACTGAAGGATCCTGGGTTCAATTCCGGTCAAGGGCATATGCAATGGGCTGTAGTCTTGATCCCCAGTGGGGGGGCATGCAGGAAACAGCCAATCAGTGATTCTCTCTCATCATTGATGTTTCCATCTCTCCCTCTCCCTTCCTCCCTGAAATTAATAAAAATACATTAAAAATTCAGAGATGGAGCTGGGCATCTTTTTCAGTATCCCAACCACTCCACAATGGCTAAGCTGTCTGGATTTTCTCCTTCTCTATGAAAACCAGGAGGCTGGTCTTCTATGAGTTCACACAGGCCCTTGGTGCAAGTGAGGGTGTGGGGAGGGGTGGCTGGGCACTCACTTGTCAGGCTGGCTTCTCTAAGTGAACTCTGGCTAAGCACAGATACCCAATGGCAGGGCCATACTAGTCCATGTGGTGCCTTTGTGCCCTCTCTGGGTGGATGCAGCCCATACCAAGCATATGGCTTGGAGAGCAAAGAGAGGGCAGAATTTCAGTCCCCTCTTGCCCTGTTGGCCAGATGCCCTAGTGCAGGGAACAGCTGGCACCAATCTAGGCAGTGGCCATATGTAGCTACACAAAGAACTAAACAGTGTGGAGATCCAACTAGTGGGCTTCCAGAAGAAGCATGTGCCTGGGTCCTGGTCCCATGCCATCCAAAATCCTGGAGAAAAAGAGAGTGCCCAAGGGTCTCTCCTTCTGAGCCTGCATTCTTGTATCTAAATCCCTCCCCTGCCTCTGCAGCTCCCATTTTCTCCAGGGACCCTGTGTAGGTTCCTGATAGCACACCTGTCCCCCCACTCCAGAGGAGAGCTCAAATCAGGCCCTGGGGGGCTGATCTTATGCACCAGGATTCGATGGAATAATCTACAGTCCACTCATCCACTCAGCAACCAAGCCTTCACAAAGAGACATCCTCTAAGAACATAGGGGAGCCATTTCCTTAGGACTCTGAGAGGTGGGCAAGGGCTTTCTAAGAAAAGATGCTAAAAGGAGAGTCATTGGAGCAGGAACCTGCAAGGTGTATTGAATTACAGCAAAACAGACCAGAGAGACAGGAATGTAAGCTTTTTTTATTTTATTAAACCTTACTGGAGGATATTTTTCCCATTGATTTTAGAGAGAGTGGAAGGGGTATGGGGAGGGGGAGAGGAGAGAGAAACATAGATGTGAGAGAGCCACATCAATCAGTTGCCTCTACCACGCACCCCAAACAGGGCGGGAACCTGCAACCCAGGTATGTACCATTGACTGAAATTGAGCCCATAACCCTTTGGTTCACAGGCCAATGCTCTAACCACAGGGAAACACTGGCCAGAGCAGAATGTAAGATTTTTATTGCTCAATAGATACCAGTTGAATTAAAGTGAAGGGTGGTGGTGCTCACAAAGGCTTCTCCAGATCTGGTGAAGGGCCTGGAATGATAGAATAAATAGCTAGGGCTTTGTCAGTGGACAATGGGGAGCCACGAAAGGTTTTTGAGCAGGAGAGTAGCAGGGTCAGATTTGGCACCAGGAAGATGACTCTGGATGGTGAGGAGGAGGATTTGCCAAACCTGGGCACAGCATGGCTACGTTCAGTGCTAGTGGGAGACTGTGAGCAGCAGGTTTGGGAGTTGATTCTGAAGAACACCTCTGAACACTCCCCTTTTCATCACTGCATTGAATGTAATCCATTCAGTCATTTCACACACTTTTCCAGATACTGTGTGGGTCCATGTGCAAGGATGGAGAAGCGCAGGAGGAATCTGGATGAGCCCTCCCTCCCCACTCCCAGCCTTCTCTCCACCCCTCAATCAGAATGTGTTTTTGTAAGTGGGGGCTTGGGGACAGCATAAGGGTGACAAACTGTGCCTCCCCCAGCAATTAAATTTTTTAAAAAGCTGCTATGGAAGGAGCGAATATTAGTTTCCTGATTTATAAAGCCAAATGGATTAAGCTCATTCATTGCCCGAGGAAACAAAAAGGAAATCTTCAATACCTCTGTGCACATTGAGAACAGGAACAATGCGGGTCTTTAGAAAGCAGAAACCTAATTTGGGGGAATCAATTACCCTCTGTGTCCCTGCCTCTGAGGGCTTTCTCACTCCTCTCTCTCAATAGAGATTTCCTGGGAGGGAAAGTGTGGAGAAGTTGGTCAACCAGAGGCACACCCTTGGTTCAGCCTTGCAGACAGGGGGCTAAGAACTAGGGTAGGGCGAGTGGAGTCGGGCTGGGGTGTGCCTGGGTGTCAGGCACTGTGGAGATGTGGGGGGAGGGGTGCAGGGGCACGGGAGGGCTTTGGGATAAAAGTGGAGAGTGGGGAAATATTGATGTGCAGTGAGAGAGCCAAAGAAGGGAGCGATGGAAACCTTGGCTTTATAACTGGGGGCGCGGACGTAGCAAAGCTCAACCAGCGTACAAATGGGCGATGTGGGGCGGGGGAGGCACTGAGTTACCCACCCACCCACTGTCTCCTGATCTTCCCCGGTTTCTCTTCTGTGGTCTGCACGTTCCTCCGTGGGTCTGGGCGCGCAGTGGGCAATGGTGGATCAATTATGAAAAAAGAAAGGGGGCAGGGGCGCCTGGGACAGTCGCCCCGGTGTCACATTCCCAAAGTCACACACAGAAGCAAGCACTCACACCATCTCACACATTCCTGTGCTGGGTCCCAAACCCTGGCCCGCAGTCCCCAGACCCGGAGCCACGTCCACCCCGATGCACGCATACAGTCGCTCCCTCACCATCACACCCACGGAGTCCCACGCTCACCACGGCGGGGTCACCGACTCAGAACTGCACCCCCAAACTCCCACCCGCCATCGCACACATTCTGCCACCCCAGGCGCATCCTCAGCTCACACACACACACACACACACACACACACACAGCCCTCGCTCTCTGGCATGCGGACACACACACACACACACACACACACACACACAGTCGCTCACACGCACACACTCTGGCTGTGCTTTTGTGTTTTGTCAGAATTAATGAGAAAAGTTCCCGTGCCCTGCGGGTAATTAGTGTCCTTGGAGTTAAATAAGCTAATGGCGGGCACCTCTGGCCCAAGCAATTATGTTTGTGTATTGAATAATTGATTCAAAGCGGGGGAAGGGCCGCTAATCAGATCTGAGCATAATGAATTGATTTAATTAACAGGGGAATCTGAGGGGCCCTGGGAAACGCAGGCTTCACTCCGCTGCGGCGAGCGCGGCGGGCGCGCAGAGAGGACGGGAGCGCGGCTCGGCCGGGCCCGGGAGAGGCAGCTCGCACGGCTTCGGCGATCCCGGCCCGACGGACGCACCCCCACCCCGCCCGCCCCCACCCGCCCGCGCTCCCGGTCCGCAGGGCCGAGCTCCCCGCGCCCGTCCGCCCCCGCCCGCGGCTGCAGCTCGCGAGGCGCGGAGCCCGCGGGGCCGGAGGAGCAGAGCAGGCGCGGGAGGCGGACTCCGAGCCGCGCGCCCTCCGCGTTCGCGGCCCGTGCGGGCTGGAGCCGCCGGGGGACCATGGTGTTGGACCAGGAGGACGGTAGGTGCCCGGGGGCGCGCGGGGCGTGGGGCGCAGGGTGGGGGGCGGTAGCGGGGCCCTGCCGAGGCCACCCCGCTTTTGGCCGCAGCGGCCCCGCGCCAGCCCCAGCAGCTCCGGCCGCCGGGCGGCTTCCCGGAAGCGCGGCGGGACGTGGGGGGTGTGACGAGGGTGCCAGGCTCAGCCCCCCGGGGTTCCTCATCGGGGTTAGGAAGTCCCAAGCCAGCCAGCCCCACACGCTCCGGCCGAGAACTTTCTCCCCGCTCTTGCTGCTTCCCAGGCACCAGGAGCGCCTGTCCTCCCCGCAGTGCCCGCTGACCCTCAGTCCCCCAGCCTCCCGGGGTGTCTGCATGTCCCCAGTTCTGCATCGGACTGTGAAATGGTTCTCCCAGGGGGGTGCCCTGAGAACCTGGGGTTGAGGGTGGAGTCAAACCAGCATGGTTCTGAGGTTCCCGGGGTCTGGAACTTACAGCTGCGGGATGGGTGACATTGCTTCACCTCTGGAGGCACTGGAGAGGGCGCTCACCATCAGTCTTACCCCGCTCCTCCCCTCTGCCTAGCATGAGAGGAGGTGCCTGCTGGCTGTGGGCCATGTATCCAAAATATCAGGGAGCGGATTTGTCTTGAAGCTGATGAAGTTTACGCTTCATTGGTGATCTTGTGTTCCTTTTCTTAAAGAATCCCCTTTGCCCCAGTTGCATACGTAAGTTTGGCTCTCACAAAAATCTGGATCTAGCCCTGGGTCCAACTCACACCCTTTCCGTTCTAACTGCCAGTCTCTCAGGCCAGCTCACAGCCCTGCTGGCCCATCCACCCTCCCCAGGTGCCAGGGAACTCCTCAGTGCCTGGGAGAGGAAGCCCTGAGTTGGAAGGCTGAGACTCGTGGTGCTGGGAGGCAGCTGCTGGTCTGCAGGACGGGTCTGGCTGGCTGGCCTTTCCCTCTGGCTCCATTAGTCCCTTGTCCTACCTACTGCCTCCCTCTTTGGCGAGCAACTGGCCTGGTTTGCCAGGACCACCCGGTTTGAGCTCAGAAAGTCCTACCTCCTGGGACACTGATCAATCCTGGGCAAACTGGGACAGGTGGACAGCCTACATCCACAGCCTTCTCAGAGCTGTTGTGCAGGGATGGGTTAGCCTTCAGCAAGGGGGTGGGGAAAGAGAGACTTGTTTTCTGGGGTGCAGATTTGGTCTAAGCCTCTGCAAGGCCTAATGAATTATAACTGCGGCTCCTAGAAGGCCTGCCGAGGGCTTCCAATAACCAAAGGAGGAAAAGTGTGCACTTCTCCACTCTAGCTGGTTGCAGTTTCTGTGCATGGGCTGCCTCTGTGTGACTAGGGGGCAGGGCAGAGCGTCTGAATGTGGCCAGCAGGCATCCTGATGGTACTGCAAAGCCTGTAGGTTCACTGTCTTGTCACCTGTGGTAGCCACAGGGAAGGGGCCCTTGTCACTTCGAATACCTCTCCGAGCATCACATGTAAAACCAGCTTGTAACCCCATCTTGAAGACAGTGTTGGGAGCAGGACCCTCAGGTGCAGGCACACCTGACAGCCTCCACTGAAGAGTTCTGGAATATCTGGTCTGCCCAGGCCCTCAGGCACCGAGTTTTCCCCGCCCCCTTCCCACCTCCAATGCAGGAACCCTTCCTCAGTACTTCCCTCCCAGGTGCAGTGACAAACTGCTAGGACCTGCCCAGAACTTTGTAAGGCAGCCAGTAACAACCCCTTTCTCCTCACTGTAACCTTGGGGGCTGATCACGTGTCTTCCCTCTACTGCCCCCAGGGGCATTTCAAGGGCATTTTGGAGCACTCTTGGTAGTGTCCAAGTGAATACATGCTCATCACCTGTGGAATGTGTCAGATGCAAGCTACCTCCTCCAGGCCCAGGGGAGCTGAGGATTCCACCCTGCTATTGTGGGTGGGGGTGAGCATGGCCACAGGAATTACCTGGCTGCCCAACAATTACCCATGAGCTGAGAAAGGAGGCCACTGGATGAGTGAGGCACATGTCTGCCTCTGCCAACCCAGCAGGCCCCTTCCTGGCCACGAGCTCCGGTCATCCAAACCCTCAAAGGCTTGCTGGGTAGCTCTGTGCACCAACCTCTTGGAGGCCCCTTTCCAGATCAGTGTGCAGCTCAATGCTCACAACTGGGGGTGCAGAGAGAGCCACCTCTGGACACAAGCAGTCCTTCACACTCAGCACCAACCCCCTGCTGCATACCTAGCCTGTTTCTGTAGTCCATCACTTAGCACCCCGGCCTGCTTCAGTCCCTGAGTTGGCACATAGGGCTCCTGCCTCCCCAAAGGGATGCTGGCTGTGTGGCTGCTAATTGGTTACCTTGGAGGCTGGGAGAGCTGGTGTTGGGACAGAGTCCCAAGCGCAGCGCATGGACAAGACAGTGGAAAAGTGGTTCGTGGGTCAGGGCCAGACCCTGGAAGTGAGGAGAAGCAGTCCTGGAGGTCACAAGTAAAGCAGCAGCGCTTGTGGAATGAATGCCCCCAGACCCCCCAGAGGTGTCTACAGCAAGAAGCTGCCCCTTGCCAGCTCGCCAGGCCCGTGGCTTGCTGCACTGTCTGGCCCCCAGCTCAGGCTGGGGTGAGGGGCTGACTCTAAATGAACCAGTGGCGGCAGAGCCAAAGGCTCCCTCAGACCCTCAGGGTACAGCTCCGGCTGCAGCGGCAGGGGAGAGATCAAGCTCACAGTCCTGAGGGACGGTCAGGCTGAGCAAAATGATATATTTAATACCAAATATACTCGCGGACTATTAGGATTAAGTATTCAAGATGAAGAGGAAAGCAAAACCCTCTGAGCTGCGGATGAGGCATCTCATTAGAAGCCGCCTCTCTCCTGTTTTCTCAAAGCCCGACTTCCTGCCTAGGACAGAGGAAGACGGGCTGCAGCACGGCTCCAGCTCCCCCATTCCTCACCCCTGTCAAGCACCTGCATTGGGCCTCCAGGGCTTAAGGGGGAGGGCCTGGCCTCCAGGTCTCCTTTGTACTCAGTAAACCCCCTCAAATTGTCTGGGGTGCCACAGTTTACAAAGCACATGCACATACATTATGCCATCTGATCCCCAGAGCAGGTCTTCCACTTCACCAACAGGGAAACTGAGACCGAGAGAGAGAGAGAGAGAGAGAGAGAGAGAGAGAGAGAGAGAGAGATTTGCTAAGCCACTGTTGATAATAGGCAGAGATGGTGTGAAATCCCAACTGGTGGCCCTTGGCCCCTCCAGGGACTTCGGCTCCCTTCCCCTTGCCTGGGCCTAGTCCTCAGAAGAGCTACCAGGATTGAGCCTTCGACACATTTGCCTGGAGCCCTCCTTGGGCTGGAAAAAAAGCTCTAGGTTAATGAGTGGCCTTCCTGGAAAAGGCAGCCTGGGCACCACCCCCAGGGCTCTGGAGAGACACAGGGTTCAGGAGGAAAGGAGCCGGACACTGTCCCCCTCCTGCCTCTTGAGTTACAGAGCAAGAACTGTGAAGTCCGTAATAGCAGGAATCTTTGCTTTGTTCACTGCTGTGTCCCCAGTGCTTGGCACATAATACATGCTCAACAAACGGCTGTGGAATGAGAAAAGCTTTCAATGCCATGCTGTGCTTGCTGAGAGAGAACTTAAGACAGGATCCCAGTTTCAGTAGAATCAGGATGCCCTTGTGGGGGAAGGGGCTGCTGGGGTAAAGGTGTTCCTGTGAGATTCACAGTGGAAGAGTTTGTGTCTGGCACAGGGTTAACTTTGCCAAAAGATCCAGGGAATAACCAGAAATCCTGGGGGGTGGGGCAGGGGGGTTGGTGCAGAGCAAGTAGGAAGAGAGGGTAGGAGGTCAGAGAAAGGTTGCCCTGGTGAGAGGGGGGGCAGAAATGAAGGCTGGGAGGCTGGGAGTGACAGACCAGGGGTCCTTCAGACAAATCTCCAGGATGAGGACCTGGGTCCTGCCTGAGCGGAGCCACGCGCTGAGCTGGGGCCGAGTTGGGGCCGAGTTGGGGCCGAGTTGGGGCCGAGCGGCCTCCAGGTGGCGCTGCGGAGCCGGCAGCCGCGCGTCTCCACTCCCCATTAACCCGGAGGAAGGGGGGGCCTCGGGAAATGTGTGCATTTATTCAGTAGCAGGAGTGCAAACCTCATACATTGAGAGAGAAAGGCAGCGGGAGACGGCCGCCGAGATTCCCCCATCTCTTTGAATATAATTTTAGATTGAGATTCAGATTAAATCCGAGGGGAAAACACTTTATGAGGCTGAAAGCAGTGTCGTTGCCAGAGCCCGGGTTATGAGCTATCAAATGCAATTACATTAAGACAGATTATACTGGGCAAATTGAGCCATTTAGAAGGTGAGAATCAAAGAAACGGCTCTGATCCTCTCTTCCCCTTCTCTCTCTCTCTCCCTCTCTCTCTCTCTAAATTGCAGTTCGTAGTTCCTTCAATTCTGAGGCACAAAAGTAGGTGAGACGGCTTTTGTATCTGCGAAGTGCTTCACTCCTGAATGTAATTCTAGCTGAGTGCAATCTAGGTTAAGAGCCGGACAAGCGGGTAATTAGAGCCGCTCGCTGCCCGAGGACCGGCCGCCCCGCCGAAGCGCGCCCGGAGTCGGCGCCCTTCTCCCGGCCGAGCCGAGCTGCGGCTGGACACGGAGCGCCCGAGATGATGGTGCTGGACAAGGAGGACGGTAGGTGGCGGGCGGAGGTCCGACGCCGGGCACCCCCGGCCTTACACCGCGGCGCGCGGGAACACACGCGGGGGGCACAGGCGCGCACCTGCCAGGCTGGGCTGGGGTTGCGGGGGGAGCGGCGCGGGGGCCGGGGCCGGGCGGGGGCGGGGGCGGGGGCGGGCGCGGGGAGGACCGAGTGGAACTGGGGAGGAGGACGGTGAGTCAGTCCCTGGGTGCGGGCCCCCTGGGCCCGGCCGGGCGGGCGAGCTGTGCGCGGGCCAGGTGGTGCTCTGCGGGCCAGAGGCTCCTGCTCCCCTTAGCTCTCCGCGCAGCGGCGGCGGTTCGTGCAGAGCATTTCGTCTTTGCGGCTGCTCCTCTCACCGCAGCCATCACCCTCGCGTCGCCGCGTAACCCGAGAGGTGCCGAGCGCTGGGCAAATCAGTGGCTTCTGGAAAATCGGGCTCCGGGGCTTGCGGCGAGCCGCGCTTGGGGAAGACGGCGCCCGCCCTGGGGTGCCAGGCCGGCGAGGGGAAGGCGGGCTGGACCCTCTGGGAGATAGCTCCCCACAAGTAGGAGGTGCCTCCCGTGCTGGTCCACTGTCTCCCTGTGTCCTGAGCGCGGAGACAGGAGTTTGGCCCAGAGGAAGAAAGTGTCGCGCTACAGGCTAGTAGCACTCCTGCAGGAGTGGCCCGCGAAAGTGGCATGGGCCTGCCGTGGTCAGGATCCTCAGGGCTCCTCTGAGGCCAGAACAGAGGGTTCCATGATTGCTGGAGGCCACTAGCAGGTGGTCCCTCCTACTCCAAAGCCTTCCTGATTGGGGGTGCCCTGTAGTTATTGTCTGGTGTGCACAGGAGAGGTTGGGGAACCCAGTCCCCTGGAGGGTAAAACCAAGTGGGTGTCCTGTGACCCACGCACAGACCCCAGGGTCAGAGGAGAGGCCGTCCCCTGGCTGTCCCAGGCCCTCCTGCCCTGTAGGTGAGGGTTGCTCAATTTGTTGGCTGTAGGGAGACATATGTCTATGTAATAGTTGACACACAGTCTGCTACTGGGACGGAACTGGAAGGTGGGCTTTCTGTGAGTTAGAGCGATGGTGGTGGCGCCCTCTGACCTCCTAGTGAGTCTCCACTGGGCCTGTGCCCTCTCCCCACCAGGTCAATGGTGCTATTGACATGGTCACTTGGCAAAAACTTGAAGTTAAGTCACTTGCTCAAGGTCACACAGGAGGTTCACTTTTGCTGCTACCACGTGCTGATGCCCCTAGACTCCCCTTGACCTTCTGAGATCCCCAGCCGGGAGGGGCAATTAAAGTGTCTGTCCTCAGGGTGGCATGTGGAGGAGCCCCGTGGCCAGTAAGCCCATGAAGGCTGATTCTCGGTGTGTGTGTAGTAGGAGATGAAGAGGGAACTCAACGCTTCTGGCCAAAAGAATCCATTTGCCAGCGTCTAGCTGGGGTGTGCCATCCACCTCCTGTATGCTCTTCTCTCTTCAGGGACCCCTTCCCTGGAGTCCTGTGAGGGCCATCAGAGGGCTGGACTGCTACAGTTGTATATGGGACGAAAAGAAGGGCTTGGGCCGGGCTGCCCAGGGAGGGAGGAGGCCTTGATGTAGCCCCTTTTGTTTCTAACTCCCTGTGTCATCTCAGACCAGTCATGCTTATCTCTAGACTTCATTTTCCCTCTTGGTAACATGAGGGGCTTAGAGAAGCCAGTGCCGGGTCTCGCTTGGTGTCTGGGGTACTCTCACTGTGGGAAGCATGTGGAAATCAGGCTATGTCTTTAGGTCCAGGCCAGAAATCCAGTAAACCGGACCCTCTACTTGGGAGGCCTCAGGCAGGGAGATGGACCTCTTGGAGGTGGCTCTCTGTCCAGGCACCCAGAGTGCCGTGGGCTCTGTGATCCTAAAGGCTCTCAGATGAGCCATGAGTGGGAATGGCTCTCTGGAGGTCATTTGAGCCAGTGTCCTGCCTCCAGCCTGCAGTGCACCTCAACCACCAGACATGTGTGTTTCCTCCAGATCTATGGCAGAAAGCGTGTGGTGCCCCTCAGTGCCCCACCTTGTCCAGTCTAAATAATATGGTGCCCACTTGCATTGATGCCCGTGAGCTCTGGGGCCCATTACAGCACGAAGCCTGCAGACAGCCGGAGTCCCGAGGAGCACTGGATTCTTGTCCTGCGCAGAACTGTCCCCCAAAAGTAACCTTTCTGCTCCTAAATCCACCCTCCACTCCCTGTTAGAATCTGGCCTCTCCTGGTTCCACGGAACCTCGAAGCTGGCACCTGTAATTAGGTGGCGGGGGGAGGCTCTGGATGCACTCACCTGCCCTTCTACACCTGCTGCCTACTTTCTCCCTAGCACTTATGCCCTCTCAGCAGGTGGCCATTTGGGCCGGGTGGCAGCATTGGCCCCCAAGGGCAGCGTTGTCTGGCTGCAGCAGGGACTCAGGGCTCTTATTAACCACCCCCAATGCCTTTTCTCCACCTGACAGCATCTTGTCGGAAGAGGCCGAGGCTCCTCTGGTTGAAGTCGGGTCTGCCAGCTGCCACGGACCAAAGCTCTTGCTCTGCTGGGCTGCTGGGCTTTCATGTTGCACTTCTGAAAGATAATAAAATATCAATCGCTTCGCCGTAGCAACGGGTTTAAGAGACTTTCTGAAGTATTGAATCGTCAAAAAAATTTTTTTTTTTTTTTTTTTTTTTTTTTGCTTTTAAGCACAGTGCATTATTAATAAAGTAATCCATTAGGTCGAGCAGTGAAGGGCCACCACAGAGAGGAAAGATCTGTTTTGCAAACGGTTAAACTTCGGGTTTTAAGATTAATTGCTTTCATTTGGACGCTTGCTCTTGGCCTAGCCATTTCCACTTTACTGGAACTCAGGGTCCAGGCTTTCTAAATGCCGTCGGGTCTGCCTGTCAGCAAAGGGATCCCAACCCCCACTTTCCTGGAGAAATAGCCCCCCTTTCCCTGGCACCTGCGCTTGGACTGCCACCAGGCTGTGGGCTTTTCGGTGAGGCTTGAAGTCCTAGGGGTGCAGAGAGCTACTGTCCTGAGCCCCAGGAGTCAAATTAGCCCTCAGGCTTGTGGAGAAGAGGCCCGTGAGTAGGGGCAGAGAGCAGAGGGTCCAGGCCACCCCAAGAACAACGAGAGCCTTGGATTGCGGGGGAATGGGCAGGAGAAGATGCTGAGGATACCCTTTTGGGGGTGCTGGTGTGTCCCTAGGCGCAGGCTGGAGAAGGGTGGGTCTGGGTGTAAGCCGCCTCTGCAAAGACCCAGTGGGAAGGCTGGGGTGACCACAGGAAGCAGCGAGCAGGCTGTAGAACCAAAAGCCAGACATGATTCCTAGAGCATTTTTAATAAGTAAAAATGCCCAAGGAGAGTGGAGCTGGCCTGAGAAGGACCAGACAGCGAATCTTCAATTGTTAATGACCGCCGTGCGCACAGCCTCTACAGCTGGTCCATGAGGGCAGGCTCTTGGCTATGCTTGGGTGCTGAGCTGCAGGACCTCCTGGGATATCCCATCGTGCTCTGGACCACAGAGGGTCCTGGGGGCCTCTCCTGGCAGAGTGTGGCCAGTACTTCCCTGGCCTGGAGTGGAGGCAGGGAATGGGCCCTGGCACTGTTCCATGCTGGAGACCCCAGCAGGGCAACAGGAAGGTGGATCCCAGCGGGCACTGCGGCCTCCTGAGGCCTGGGAAAGGCCTTGGAAGGCTGGCAGGGTGGGGATCAGGCCTGGCACTCGGGGGGGTCTCCATCTGCACCTACCATGCCAGCCTGAGCAGCAGCCATCGCCTCACGGCTGGGGATGAAGCATCGCAAATCTCCAGCAGCACGCACGGCTGCTTCCCCTTCCTGCCCAAAGGTGGGAGTCTGTAAAGATGGGTCTCCTCCACCCCCTCTCTGAGCCATGGGTTAAGAAGCAGGTGCTTCTCTCTGTTCCCTGCTCTTCCATTCACTTGCCCACATGGAGCACTAAGGGGGGGACAGGGAAACAACATAAATTGGTCTGTCGTCCAGAATCCATGTCTCACTAATGTACCCAGATTAACTCAACTGTAAATTGTCTCCTTGGATGGCGGTGTCTTGCTAAAAGTTTCCCATATGATTCATGATTTGGATTGCTTTTAACGGCTATTGGCTAAGCAAGCCGGTGACTGTACAAGGTGATGCAATTGGCATTAGCGAGGGGAGGCACGGGAGCGTGTAATGCAGTCAATACTGCATTAACTACTGATGCCCAATTACAGGGAGTGGGAGAGAGCCTTTCAGGAGCATTAGGACTGGGGGAAGCTGAGATCACTGGCCGCTGCTCGCCTAAAAGCTTCACCCTTTGCATGCCGGGGTGGCCATGGTGCTGGCTTGGCCAGTCACTCGGCCTCTGTGGCTACAAGAGCTGCATTTCTCATTCTCTCTCTCTCTCTCTCTCTCTCTCTCTCTCTCTCTCTCTCTCTCTCTCTCTCTCTCTCTCTCTCAACATGTCCCATGAAGATGCTTTTAGCACATAGAAATGTGCATGTTCCTAGACCCATGGCCTGCCTCTCATTCCTCCAGAGAATGGAGTCCCCACCCCACACGGCGTCCCAGAGTCAAACCCAGCAGCTGCCCCACGTGCTTCTATTTAAGGAGCCCCTCAGCAGGACCAGGAGTTCTATTCTGGTCTTTCTTCCTTGGAACCATTGAATGATTTCCAGCATCGGTGGCCGACCCTCTGTGGTCATGGGCGGAGACATGAGGTTCCGGCTCGGTGCAGTTGGGCTGCTGGCACAGGCTGCTGAGGTTGGGAAGTGGCCGTGGTTGGACAGGCTGGCCTTCTTTGAGCAGAAGGCAGAGCTGGGGTGGTGCAGCTAGGGGAGGCTGATGGGGGATTGACCCAAGCCATGCAGGTGTTCTCAGCAAGTGCGGGCCCCTCCAAGCAGCATCCCATCCAAGGCAGAGTTGTCCCTAAGTAGCCAGGAAGTCAAGGCTGTTGTTTAGCTCTATCTCTAAGGGCTAGAGTGTCTCCTAAGAACTCTTGATCAGTGAAA